GTAGTCCCCATACCAAAAATTAATAATATTGACCAAAGTTTCAGTGTACTCCCAGTAATCAGTATTTTGGACACGTTTTTCAAACGAATTTGCTGTAATTTAGTATCTTGGTTTCTCATTGTATAGCACATACAGATAGCAAAAAAAAACATGTAAAGGTACCCCAGTATTCCGCATTTTTTTCGATTTTCGACACGTTTTTCAATCAAATTGGCTTTAATTTTGTATTTTGGTTCCCTTTTTTATAGTACATTCTTGTACTAAATATTATTAATATTGAACCATGGTATAATAATAGAAGGTAACAGCAAGTGTTGTTGTACAACAATCGATACAACAACAACATGGAAATTTGTTGTTGTAAGTTATACTAGTGTCAACGTTATTTGACAGAAAAATGTAAACAAATTATATAAATTTTGAAAATGAAATATTTTCGAATCCTCAAAATAAAATTTGAAAAACATGAATGAAAATTTATCAGATTTATATTTTTATCGCTTCCACATCTTTCCTATAATTGAGCCATTACCACTTATATGTGTAGCACATATGAAAATGCAGGGAATTGCGAGTTATTCCATGAAGAATGATTTTCTTCCTCAAACTTTCCCAGCAGGCAGATTGAGTAAATTGAATACGGGAGCACATTTAATAAAGAACAATTTCAAATTGTAGGCGGTCCCAATTTTCCTGTTGGGTGATTTTTAAAAACATAACATTCTCAAATTCATATTGACACTAGTATTACATTGGAATCAAATCAGCTGGGATTTGCTGTTACCTTTTTTATAGTTGTACCATGATATTGAACAAAGTTTGGATGTTGCCCCCATATTTCTGAACTAAAAAAGATTTCACTACCCAAATTGATCAATATCGATCACTGTTTTGGTATAGACCTATAAAACGCTAGCCCCCTATTAGGTAATAATATTCAAATTCCTATCATAACATATGTTTTCTCATAAGATCCCCCCATTAATTTCACATATTTTTAATGTCATCCTCATGGTGAAGGGTATAAAAAGTTCGGTCGGTCCGAACTTAACATCGTTTTAACTTGTTTTATTCTTCAATCATTGGGAATGTCAACCCACGAATTTAGTCGGAAAATGTTGAAAAATTCCGAAAATATGTCTTCAACCTGAAAGAATCTTAAATGCCAAGGAATTCTAAAACAACCGAAATGTTGAAAATTGGTCTGTAATGGTATTTGGGATATTTGAGAAGTATACTGATTAGATGTTAAATCGCTTCTGATGTAATTGAAAATATAAATGCACTTAAGTGCTAGACTGTCATAGAAATCTTAAAGTATCTTATTCATTGCACTTAGCACTAGAACTACTTGCTTGTACCTTGCTGAGTGCATTATCAGCAGCTCACACTCGCATTATCACTTACACGAACATATCTATGGCGATATATTTATGTTAGGCACTTAAATATTTTATGATGTATACACTGTGTAAGTTATTTTCATATTTTTATGAACATGGGGCTTTTAGCCCCAACGAGGACCGACAATACCAAACTTATTAGATGTAATATCGGACTCTATCGTGATTTCAATAGACAGCGACATGGCAAAATTGTCATACAATTTTATTCTGATCAATAACGAATCATTCGATGTGTTGCCACCTAATGGTGGAGAGCAAGCAGGCTTCAAACAGAACTTATTGGGAACTATCTTCTTCATCCGATTTTCATGCTGAGTAGCCTTGTCAGCATGAATACCTTACATCTTAAATACACGACATTTGCTTAAAACCCCCGTAATTATATAAAATTTGGTCTACCAAACATTTTCTATATTTGGAAATAAAACACCAAAAAATTTTCGCTTTTTTTCTTACATTTTCTTTCGTATAGTTTCAAATGTTTATTTTCTAATAAAAAATCTAGTATTACAAGTTTATTTTTTTTATGAATTATATATAAAATTACAAATGATTTATATTGCGTGTTTTTTTAACCTAAACAACTACATGCATACATACTTATGTAGGTTTTATATTAATAAAAATAATTATCAAAAAAATAAAATAATCTGCAAATACCACAAAAAATTAAGCGTTTGTCTTCTTTTTTTCGGCTAATTACAAAAAAAGAGACTTCTAACAAAAAAATAGTAATTAAATAATAATAAAAAATTAAATAGAAAAAATATCGATGTTGTGTTACATTTCTCTCTTAAGAATATTTACAAAAATAAAAAGTTTGGGGGTGGGGGGACAACGTTCTACCATCCGTCTAATTTGTGTCTGTGATAAGAAATTCAATTCAAAGACAAAATTCTACAGCTACTTTCCTTAAGCACAAAAACATTTACGGATTTCTTTGGCATGAAAAAAGTAGATACTGATTTTGTCATTGTTGTTATTAAAAAAAATTTACAAAATAATTGTAAAGGTGGAAACTAATTTCTCCTTAAAAAAAGACATTTTCAGGAATATCATGCCTAATTGCAGCTACAGATCAAAACAGAATAAATGCTTTGTCTTCGGCGTTGAATTTCACGTTGCCACAGAAATCATAACCGCTTGTCTGTGGGTTTTCTGTAGTTGGCATCGCATTCACAGTGGTAATGTGATTAATGTTGGCAACACGGAACTCGACCTTTAAGTTTATTAACATGAGGCAGGTTTTAATATAACATGTGGTTTATGTTGTCAAAAATCTTAAAAATGCATCAAATAAATTCTGTTTAACCATTATGCATGTGTTTTGGGAATACACGTAATTTTTTGACGTATATGGAATTTATATGACAATCTAAATCACGTGCTTTATTGAAACAGCTGTTAGATTTGCCAACCATTTTTCTTAGCGTCCTACCTTTACAATATTTGTAATAAACATTTTATTTATTTTTATTGTTTTCGCATATTTTCCTAATGAGCATTATAAATATTATTAATATTTCATTTTTAAACGGCAGGCGAACGGGACATTTCTAATGTCAAATATAATAAAACTGTTTTGTTCGTTTTTAAGGTTCACATCTTTCCACATCTTTATTTTTATTTTAAATTATTCTTCTGTTTCATGTTTTGATTTTTTTCTTCCGTTTTTTTTTTATTTTATTTATTTTTAATGAATACAAACTTAAATCTAGTTGTTGTTTTTGTTGTTTACATACTAAATAAAATTATTTGGGGGGAGGGATTTTTTTATTAAAAAATTAATAAATTATGAAGACGAAGTTTGTTTGGGCCAACAAAATGGCGTGTGATTAATGACATGCTTTAGCTTTTGTGTATTTTCGTGTTAATTGTTGCCAGCAGCAGCAGTGATTATTCTCTGTCTCGTCGTGGCATAATCTTCCAATTTATTGGCAAATTTGGTATTGCCATTGATTTCGTGTTTGCCATTTTCTGTGGCGGCTTTGAGACTGTTTTCATAGGCTGCCTTTTTCGATTTTTCCTGCAAGAAGAGAGAAGGGGAGTGGGATTAGTAAAGAGTTAAAACTGTTTTTTCATAAAAAATAGATTGGAATTTTGGAGAAATAAGCTCTTGAAACACCTCCTGGAAAATGCTAAAATAATTATACAAAAACCGTTGGTTGGAAGGGTTAGAGTATTCTAAAACACTTTAAATAATACGAAGACCAGATCTTCCTAAAAGGCTAGAGTTTGCATGTTGTGGACATTCATAAATCCCTAATTACACAGGACCTACAGGGCGAAGCATTTTTGCCACGAATCGCAGCGAAGCCGTTCCCGTTCTCAGTCGTTCTAACGGTTTGCATCATTGCAGTCAGTTCAGCCGAATAAATAATTTTCCCCTGCCAGGAGGAGGTGTTACCAGACGAAGTAAAGGGCGGCGGGGGTTACCTAAATCCCTAATTACACAGGACCTATAGGGCGAAGAATTTTTGTCACGAATCGCAGCGAAGGCGTTTCCGTTCTCAGTCATTCTAACGGCTTGAATCATTGCAGTCAGTTCAGTGCCCCAGGTGTTGCCAGACGAAGTAAATGGCGGAGGGGATTACAGTCTGGCAGAGAGGATTCCAGAGAAGATGTTCAACTACTTAGTCATACTAACGGCTTTCATCATTGCAGTCAGTTCAGCGGGAGAAATGCCTTTCCTTTGCTAGGAGGTGTTACCAGAAGTAGTTTAGGGGGATTACAGGAGACAAAGGATAGTTCTTCTCTGAACCTTCCAACAGAATCAACTAGAAGTGCGCCAATAACTCCGACTCCTGTTAGGCGGCGCTAAAGGGGACCTTCCGGTTAGCTTGCGATCTTGGGTCTATGGTTCTTAACCCGTCCACTTCTCTAGCCCATCAGGACGAACACGAAATTGAACTTTAGGAAACAAATTGAAATATTAAAAATATCAAAAACTACCTAATTTTACAAGGGAGCCTTGGTGTTGTACTCCCACTGAATATACCTCCCACTAAACATACCACCCTCTGAACATACCATTTTAGCAAAATATGGTAACACCTTTTCTTTCATTCTTTCTTTTCAGTGTGATTCAACATTAATTGTGCCGCATAATTTGTCTGCTGAATGAAACAAAAACAAAACGGAATGGCTGACATCGATGCCATATTTGATCCGGACAAGCAAACAAGGAATTCAAAAAGGTAAGGTAAATCTATCTTAATATCCACCATATGTGAATAATACCGGCGCCACCACGCAAAATTTTCCAGAATAATCGATATTGACAGATTCCTAGTTTACTTATGTTTTGAAGATTGATCTGTTGCCTGCAAAAATTCCTTATTTATCGACACCACCTCTGTCAGATTGTAGAAAGGACCTTGTAAGTAGTCGAAAGGTTTTTTTACTAATTCCATTCGATTTGTTTTTGGATAGAAATAAGGTCATATTAAACTGGTCTGCTTTTACGGTTCTATGGTTTTAAATTATTACACTCCTACGAATATTCCATATATCACTATCATTAATATTGTCCATGATATAAATTTAAATCCTATTCTCCTTTAAATTCCAATCTAATACGAATGAAAAATCTCCTTTTTCAACTTACCTTAGCATCTCTTCTCAAATAGGACTTCTTATAGAAATCAGAGAACAAGAAATAGAACATAACAGCATGTGCACCAATGAAATAGGCAAAACCAATTGGATAATTGCAATCGTTTCTGAAGAACAACTGGAATGAATGGATCATAACCAAAACGAATTGTACCATTTGCAAGACGGTCAAATATTTCTTCCACCACAAATATTTTTGTACTTTGGGTCCCATGGCAGCCAACATATAATAGGTATACATAATAATGTGAACGAAGGTGTTCAAGAAACCGAAGAATGTCGAATGACCGCCAGGAGTAAATTTAACACCCCACCATACCGACACGGGCATAATACCATGATGAATCACGTGCAGAGTCGAGACTTGATCGTAACGTTTACGCATCACAAAGAAGAATGTATCAAAGAATTCGGTGAATTTTGAAAAGAAATACCACCAGCAACCACGCGCCGTCTGTAATGAAAGAGAATGTGAAAAGGGTGTGATTAGTAAATATACAAATAATATATCATATAATTGAAAGTGTCAATATAGACACCGTCAAACAAAATATTCTCATGTAATTCTACGTATAATTGTTTAGCAACAATGATTAAATAATTATATTTGCTTATTCGATGTTTAGAAATCTGATATTTCAAATATTGACTTTTTTGCTGTGGGATGATGATTTGATTTGCCGTTTGTATTGGATTGTGTAATATTGATTGAATTCGCAAATAATGTACGTCAGCAAATAGCTGCCGTATTCTAGTAATTTGTGTAACTAATGTTATTACTACATTGTTTATAAAAGTGCTTGATCTTTGGAATACAGTAATTTTGTAATATATAATTTAAAAACTAACCATGTTATAAGGACCCTTTCACAACAACAGATACCATCAATACCAACCACCACTTAGCACAAAACTTTCTACAAGCAAAAACATCAGTTTGTGACATCTCTAAAACCTGTTTCATCCAGCTCCCTAAATTCAAAGAAAAATTCACTGCCTGAAATGGCTTCCAAGTCCGCGGAAACAGAACCATTGCTTCCTCAGTCAAAGGGATATTTACCATTGCAGGGCAAAGGGTGTGTGTACTGATTAATCGTCAGGAGAAAATGTTTGTGCTACGGCGATAACACCAATATAATAATGTAGCACAAAGGCTTTCTGAAAACAACACCACTTTTTGGAATCTCTAAAACTCTGCTCCGTCTAGTTCACCAGGCTCTCATGATAATGAAATAGGCGCCGCTCGAAATGCTGTGCAACATCCGCCAATTCCACCACAGCAACTTTCATAAAGCAAAGAATCTCTAAAACTCTGCTCCGTCCAGCTCACCAGATCCACAGTTGAAGAAGTAGGCGCCGCCCGAATGCTGTGCAACATCCTCAAATTCCATCACAGGAACTTCGTAACACCAAAGAAAGCTTTTGCAATTGAAAGTCCACTGCCATGTTTGGCAGTTGCATTTATCTGAAGTGGTGAAAAAATTTGTTATTTTTTCTGACGATCATGAACCATTGTATCCCGGCCCGACTTTATAGAGTCAGATTGTTGTACCACCTCCTACAGTCAGTTTATGGATAGAAATACCGTTCCTCTGCCAGGAGGTTTTATCAGACGAAGTAACGTGGGGATTACAGCCATTGCAGGGAAAGGAGTGCTTGTACTCATTAATATACCTTTCTTCTGCCAGGTGGTGTTACCTGACGATGTAAAGAACGGTAACAGATGTTGCAACAGAATCGTTATCAGCTGAATTATTGGGAAGAGAATCAAGGTATTATCTGAAGGTTTCAACTGAATCATCAAGTAGGAATATGAAGTCAGGTCTCCTAACTAGGCAACCGGTAATCCTTTCCTTTTTTAAATAGAACGACCTCAGACGAACTATCGGAACGAGAGTCAAGTTTTCCTCTCAGTCCTTCTCTGAACATTGCAACAAAATCGATCTCAATTAAATTATCGGGAAGAGAGTCATGTTCTTATCTGAATGTTGCAACAGAATCGTAGACTTGAAGTATGGAGTCAGGACCCCTAACCAGGTCACCTCGGTAATCCTTGTGCATTTTTAAACAGAACAACCTCAGGCGAACTATCGGGAAGAGAGACAAGTTCTTCCTGCCAGCTCTTCTCTGAACATTGCAACAGAATGGATCTCAGTTGAATTATCGGGAAGAGAGCCAAGGTATTGTCTGAAGCTTACAACATAATCGTCAACTAGAAATATGGAGTCAGGTCTCCTAACCATGTGCATTTAGAGACAAAACGACATCAGACGTTCTATAGAGGAGTCAGGTTTTTCTTCCTCTCTGATCATTCTAAGAAACTTGCAACATATTGCTCAACTAGAAGTATGGAGACAGGTCTCCCAAGGCGAACTTAACTAGGTAAAACATATCAACTTAAAAATAAAGATATAATCGATAACAAATTAGAGGAATTAAACTTCGATTCATGATCACGTGATGTGATACATTCAGTTCCCCCAAAAAACCTAACTGCCTAATATGCATTTAAATCGCATGCCATAAACCATCCGCCTGTTGACAACTTAACGACATTTAGTTAATTTGGACGAAATAAATTTAGCCCCTTACGAAATTTTGTAATATAATTTATTAATGCGAAAGTTTTTTGGAGCGCAAAAAATTAAATTCATTTACTAATTTTGAAATTGAAACTTATTTTATATAAGATGATTTTGCGAAAACCTAAAATATTGTCACCGCTGATTCTCTCCCTATATCATTATACTTTGTGCGGATAATGGTCACTGACCGTTATCGCATATCATCCGATCACTTTCTGTGGTGAAAGTCTTTTGACCCGAATTATAAAATTTTAAATACCACACAAAAGAAACAAAAGGTATCGGTACAAATAGATGTCATTAATTATGTGCATATATTAAAATTTTTGATTGACTAAAATTGCTTGGCGATTATGTTTTATGGATTTAGCTAGGGGTGTGATATGTTTTATGGGTTTACAAATATGCAATTAAAAAAGTGAAGGCTTATAATTTTTAATTAAATTCCTGCACGGCGTGGCATATCAGGAAAAACAGCTGATGCTATCGAGAACGTAGACAAAACTGCCGACATTATTAGGGGAATTTAACCCCAATGTTCCTCAAGTTCATGAAAATCAGCTGATCTTAACACAGTAAGTAAATTTTAATTGAATTCGCTCTTAGGATCTTCTTTTTATGTGAATAATTAAAAATAGGAAGCATTTTGACTGCTCATGGATGAATCAGCTGATCTTCCGTGTGCTTCACCTGATGCGATTACTGAAGAAGTGTATTGTACGTAGCGAAACGCGTACAATTACAAATTGAACTATTATTATTCTCTCTCTTTCTTCTCGTCATGGATCTAACCCCCTCTTAATAGAAATTGATTATGAAAACTAAAAAATAATTATTTTTGTTATGCGCAAGAATAGCTTCAAATCAATTTTAAAATCAGACGACATAGAATTGACATACTTTTTTGATGACATGTCATTGTCTGAATCGTTTACACATCTTGATCATTAAACCAACACGTGTTAAGAACTTCTACGGCATTCATTCTTCATAGCTCTTCGGATCAAAGTCCATCATTTTTTTTACTACTCACATTTCCAATCAATTCGAATAAAAAATTTAGCACTCTAAAAACTCTTCGTGTGTGTCAAACTGATATTGCCTTAGGCCATGTTTCTAAGCATCGCCAAATAAAACAGACGGCATGACGTCTTCAAATGATTAGAAGATTTTAAGCGGATATCACACCATAAGCTCCGGCACAAAATTCGTTATTCATATAAGCAGAAAATTATGCTAATTTGTTGAAATACAAGATATGACAATAATAAAAAATTAAAAATCATCATGATTTAATTTTTTAACTGTTCTTCATGGCATTAAGAAATCGCAACTTTCTTAAATAATCTATAATATTTTGAAATACATTGTTCGTACTTACCCTAATTGCTTTGGGTGAATATGAATAATCGACAGGTTCACAACTGAAACTATAACCATTTAGCCAGCCACCAATTGATGCCTGCAAAAACGAAGAGAGTTTCAAATTAGTTTCATAAAAATACAATATTTTAGGGGTTTACTATGTTTACATTATACACACTTCACCAAAAAAATCCAATGTGTGTTGGATAAATCTTCTTTGATCCGCATTTAGTACTAATTTATCATTGCCAACTTACCTCGTAGAACAGGTACATGCTGAATAAAACTTGTAGGAAATTGTATACCACTAAAACTTTGCGCAATTCAAAGGGTTTTCTGTTTTCCATCAATTTTGGACCCAAAATCTGCAATAAAAGAAATAAAAAAATAATGGTAACTTAACTTGTATGAACTATTTCAAAAATCGGACAATCATGCGGTTTTTTCATAACTTGGTTTATACGGATCTGGTTTATACTGATCAGATTTAGATACTCAAAATTATATATATGAATTTAATATACATCGTTAGCTAAAATGCAAAAAGGCGTACCTAACAAAAAATTGAATTGAATTGCATTTCAGGTGAACTATCTGGAACAGAGCCAAGTTCTTCTCTGAACCTTGCATTTTGAAACAGATCGACCTAAGGTGAACAATAGGGAAGAGAGTCAAGTTCATTCGGCCAGTTCATCGCAAAACATTACAATATATTCAGGTGAACTATAGGGAAAAGAGTCAAGTTCTTTCTGTCAGTTCATCTCTGAACAGAATAGATTTCACGTAAACTATCTGGAAGAGAGTCAACTTCTTCTCTGAACCTTGCATTTTGAAACAGAACGACCTAAGGTGAACTATAGGGAAGAGGTCAAGTTCTATTTGTCAATTCATCTCTGAACATTGCAATATATTCAGGTGAACTATCGGGAAAAGAGTCAAGTTCTTCTCTGAACCTTGCAACAGAATCATCAAAAAGAAATATGGAGTCCGGTATCCTTAACAGGTTACCGCTGCAAATATCTCAACCAAAAATGAAGTTATTGTCTCTAACAGAATAGACCTCGATTCATCAAGTGAAGCGATAAATGTGTGTACACCTAACTCTGTTTTTACACGGTAGATTGGTTCCAGAATAAGCCGTGTAATAAAAACCGTGTAAAATTAGTGCTATTCACATTTGATCTGACCAGTAAAAATTGTTTGTACGCGCTAAAGGGGAATTCACATAAATCTTTGCTAGTGTTCGCAAACGATCAATACTATCGATGTTTTCAGACTATTTTCTTTCATAAATACTTTTTTGTGATATGAACATACATCGCAAAAATTAAATTTGACAAAAAATTTAAGTACATAAAATTTCAAATCGTGTCAAATTGAAAAAAATCGTGTAAAAAATTAAAAATACTCAGTTTTTTTTTAAAAAAAACATTCAATTTTCAAACCGTGTTATATCAAAACCGTGTAAAAACAGATATAGGTGTATCTTACTGGAAACGAAAAAGCAGTTTATATTTGTTTTCTAATGCATATATCCTTTATATGCTTTTAAGCGGACCCTCGGGTTCAACACATTTTATTTTGTGTCTTGATTTAATTAGAACCTACACTAATTCATGAATGTCCCTATGATAATAATGATCGACGGCAAAGTCCATATTTTTAGGAATTTTAGCTAAAAATAGGAGAAGTTGTATACCTGAAATTTTTTTGTTGCCAATCACATCAATAGAGATTGCCACAAATGAAATTGCCTAAATGTAGCGGAAATATTCCAAATATAAACATTTTATGAGTATTTTGGAAAATTTAATTCATAAAGGTCCGACATTGAAAGACATAGAACATTTTAATCATTTAATGCTTGTCCGATGGAGCTCTCGGTACTGTAAAAGCATTTCAGATTTTTGAAGTCCGAAAAAGATTTATGATAATGATTTTTTGATGTCTTTGATAACCTTCATTTATTAATGAAAAATAAAATTTCATTGACAATTGAAAATATTTTCATGGAAAATTTCTATAGAAATGTAAAATTTAATTTTCTATAAAAATCTTAAATTTCTTATAGTAATCATCTGTAGAAATATAAAATTCAACGAAAATTTCTGAAGCAAATACTTCGAAAAAATGACGTTAAAATGTACATATATAAAATCATGGTCAATAAATTTTATTTTTCCAAATTGATCTGCATTTGACAGTCGCTAAAGTACTAATTTCTATTAATTAACAGCAAAATATATTGCTAAAATATATTTTGAATAAACAACTTTTTGTTTTTTTTTATGAAAAAAAATTTAGTTGCTATGCCAAATCCCATACCGAACGACCACACCTAAATATTAGTTCTAATTCCTTAATAAATTCTCCGTTATTTTTTTTCTTCAAAAAAAAAAAAAAAAAAATAAATAAAAAAAAACTATAAAAAAACAATCTGTTTTAAATCTCTCATATTAAAATAAGCGTATAAAAATCGTCTATAAAATTAAGTCAAATTTTGCATATAGCTTAATTTTAAACGCTATTTTGTATATCCGATTTTTTTTAGCAAAGTTTTAATTATCGGCCAATGACTCTTTGCCATTTTTTTATTTATTGTTTTAAATCGCGACATACATTAACCAACGTAAATTAGGTCAAGTTGAATGATTTGTTTATTATTTGTTATTTTGTGTATAAATGTTGATTTTAATTAATAATAGTCTAATTAATATCACACGAAATGTTTCGAACATCATCTCACACAAATCAGGCTATACAATTTTGAAGTCAGGTCAGACCGCCTTACAAACCACACAAAAAGCAATAAATTAGTTAAATTACAGACAAATGCTCGAAGGTGCAAATTATTTTTTTCATAAATTCGCATCTTTCATTTTTGTTTTTTGGAGGTCAACATTTTATAGATGACAAAATCCATAAAACAAACGCCAGAAAACAAGAAACATCACAATACAAAAATGTTAACAATATATTACAAGGCAAATTAAATTTTGGGTGTCAAAGAAATCTCACACATAAATTGCCAAAATAAAATTTTGAAATATATATATTTGTTGTGAAGATGTATTGAAAAAAAAAATAGTAAGAAAAGATCAAATTTATGTATCATAACCTACACCACTTAGGGTATATACAAGAGGTGTTGGAAACCCATTTACGTGAAATCCAATGAAAATAAATCGACTCAAAAAGTCATATTTCTATAGGAAATTTCATATTCTTATAGACTGCTCAAAATACTTTGAACATAATTTTGTATTACAGAAGATGTGATCGTTGAAGTGTTTTAAGATACGAGTCTAAAATCCCACATGCAACGCTGGAAGATTCTTCACAGATCAAATTCTATTTTGGAACAAATATTTTTTTGATAAGTAGTTTGTGTTTGAGATTAGGCTAAGCAATAGTAGTTTAGGTAGTACCTAAGGATAAATAATGAGTGCTTTACAGTCAGTCAACGCGAACGGTCGTGTGGACCATGTCTAATTTCTTGTATAGACGAGCTGTGGCAGTCTGTATAATTTACAATTCTTGGTCCTTTGAAAAAACTGAGTTTTCCCCCCACCCACGGTAAGAGACTCAGTGGAATCAGCGAAGAAATAATTGTAAGCTATTTGTATTTCCACGAGATTTTCTGTTCCACGAGCGGAACAGTTTTTTTTTTAATTATTTAACAAAATAAGATGGTGTAAGAGCCATAGGGTCTTGAGAAAAAATACTTGATGAGAAGCGGAGAAAGAGAAAGTATAGGTGATTTAATCGAGGATAAAAAATACCCTTCCTGTCAGTAGGTCTACTAAAACAGTGGGTAAATATTATTAAAGACAAGTTGGAAAAACTGAAACAACCTGCATCCGAGATTAAAGGTGAACAAATAAGTTCGGAACTGAAGCCGGTTACACGAATGTGTGAAACCATTATAAAGGAAGTGGAACTGAAACAACCTGCATCCGAGATTAAGGGCGAACAAAAAAGTTCGGAACTGAAGCCGGTTACACGAATGTGTGAAACCATTATAAAGGAAGAGGAAGGCATCAATCGGGGTTATTTGGACATATACTTTCCCATCTTCCCCAAGAACTACAGCATATATGATTTTACATTGGAGGAAATTAATAATGAAGTCGATTTTGTAATGTATGTAAAGTATGTGATTAGATGTCGTTTTGCCAGGCATGTCTAAAAACGTATATGGAGCTCACTCTATTGCTTCCAAAATATACAGATGTGGAGTTCTCAGAAGATATATTCTTCAAAGTAAATAGATTGCTCCAAATATACATCGATATAAGGAAGGACCTGAAGGAAACCTTTCAATATTTGGTACCCTGACAAGTCCTCACTGTGCAGGGAATTTATTTTCCAAAGGCAAATATGGTGACTGTCCACTGGTACTGCTCAGTATAAGAATGGTTTGAAAATACGTGAGTTTATGAAAATCAGAAGTCTATGAAAATCAGGAACAAAAAGAACTCATACAGTTGAGCGTAGCATAATCTATGGACCAACATAAGAAAAACGAAGATAATGGAATGGATTTTGAAAAACAGGAACAAGAATTAGATCTACTGAATTAAGAAGAAAATAGTTATGGTTTCCCCATGAATGTGGGTGCCAAGGAAGGCGTGAAGTTTGGAATGAGAAAGGAATGCAGTTCATTTCATTGTATTTAATCACTACTCCAGATTTAGAAAATCGGTTAAGCTCTCTGTAAAAACGGAAAAAGCAGCAGTTAACACGAACAGAAGAAGAAAGCCTCAAATATGTCGAAAGTGTAAATGGATATATTGAAGATTCGATAAAATACGGATGGAAACATCGATACAAGCAAGTTATAATCCATGTGCATCATCTCGGGAAGAAACCTCCGTTTAATGAAGAGTGGAGGAAGAAATTGCCTAAGAAAAACGTTGGCTGGATAATGAAGGCCGCAGCAAATGTGGAGGAACTTCTAATGGAGACTCTATAGAAAATTGGCTGCGACAAATTGTGGGTGCTGTTACATAGAGGCTCCTTAATTTTAGAATTACCTTTTTAATTAATTTTATATTTCAATGAAGTTGACTTCTTTTATATAAATTTTATATGTATATTTTTTATTCTATAATTTATTTTCACTTCTCTCAATCTCCTTCCAATTATGTCCATATCATTAGTATGTAAATAATAATAAAAAACAACCGGTTCCAGTTTTACATCTAAAGTAATCATTTTTGTTGTTGTTGTGTAGAAGAAAAGGAATCCCCTGAAATGTAATTTTCAGTTCATTAACATTAAACTAGAATTCAGGTTTTGTGTTTCGAGAACTATTCTATAGCCTCCAACAAACATAATCATGTCCCTTTTTTACAATGGGGGGCAAGATCAGTGACTAGTCAGGCTACTTCGCAGTTTCATTGCAAGTGGCCAGCCAATCAGCCATATGATGTTACCCAGTGATTGCCTTATTGTGTTTGCTGATTCAATCAGCCTGTTGCATTATGACCTCCATGTTTGGCCGGTTGGTTTTTGTGGCTAATTGACCATAAAAAGTAATGACCGTTCGTTGTTGTGGCAGATTCCTTATTTTGTTTTGCAAAACTAGTTCTAGTCAAATTTCAGTCTTTGTTCTTGCTAAAAAACTATTTCCTGGTGAATGAATCCTTTTTTTCGGTTTGGGTGATAACCTTGAACAAAATATTACAGGTTTTTTCCACAGAGTTTGGTGAGTGGTGGTCGGCTTTTGATTATTGGATAATGGATAAGGCAAGTGATAGGAATTTATTTATTTTTCGTTTTATTTTGTAAGATGAACAAAGTTCTAAAAACTAGAGGAGAGGGAGAGAGAAATGTTGATACATAGGAATGGAATTCCAAGAAAATTTTGTATGGGATGTGGACATATGAAAGAAAAAATTAATAAAAAGTTTTTATATGAGAAAAAAGTTAGCAAAATTAGGCAACATCATATAAAATTTTATTGCAACTTTCATATGAAATTTAAAATTTCATTGCAACTTTCATATGAAATTTAAAATTCCATTGCAATTTTCATATGAGATTTTAAATTTCATTGCAACATTCATATGAAATTTAAAATGTCATATCAATTTTCATATGAGATTTTAAATTTCATTGCAACATTCATATGAAATTTAAAAGTTTAATGAAATTTTTATATGAAATTTAATAGTACAATTAAATTCTCATATGAAATTAAAAATTTCGTTGCAACATTCATATGAAATTTAAAATTTCAATGAGACTTTCATATAAAATTTTCTAAATATATTTTACATTTCATAAAGAAACACATAATTTCAGTGAAATTTTCTGTGAAAATATAAAACTTCATTATAATTTTCAATAAAAATACGAAATTTCATTGTGATTTCCTATAGATATATAAACATTTATGGACATTTTTTTTATGGAAATTCAAAATTTCATTGAAATTTCCTAATAAAATATAAATGTTCATTAAAAATTTCTTTAGAAGTAAAAAATTTCATTGAAATTTCCTATGGTAAAAAAGAGTTTCATTGCAATTTCCTTTAAAACTACAAAATGTCATTGACATTTTTCATAGAAATATAAAATTTCATTAAAATAAAAATACAAACTTTCACTGAATGGAAATTGAAAATTTCATTGAAATTTCCTACAGAAATGGAAATTTCATTGAAATTTCCAATAAAATTACAAAATTAAAAAAAATAGAAATAAAAAATTCTTTGAAATTTCCTGTAAAATCTCAAAATTTCATAGAAATTTCCTGTAAAACTATAAAATTGCATAGAAATTTGCTACAGAAATATAAAATGTCCAAGAAATTTCTTATAGAAATGTAAAATTTCATCGAAATCTCCCATGGAAATTTAAAATTTCATATAGAAATATAAAATGTCGTTGAAATTTCCCACAGAAATATAAAATTTCAGAGAAATTTTATATAAAAATACAAAATTTCATTGACATTTCCTATAAAAATACAAATTTTCATTGAAATTTCCTATCGAAATATAAACTTTCATAGAAATTTCCTACAGAAATGCAAAATTTCATAGAAATTTCCTATAGAAATACAAAATTTTATAGAAATTTCCTATAGAAATACAAAATTTCATTGAAATTTCCTATAGAAATACAAAATTTCATTGAAATTTCCTATAGAAATACAAAATTTCATTGAAATTTCCTATAGAAATACAAAATGTCATTGAAATTTCCTATAAAAATACAAAATTTCACAGAAATTTTCAATAGAAATGCAAAATTGCATAGAAATTTATTATGTTAATATTAAATGTAAAATAAATTTCCCTTAGAAATGTATAATTTCATTGAAATTTCCTATAGAAATGCACAATTTCATAAAAAATTTCCAATAGAAATACAGAATTTCATTAAAAAAATCATTAATATTTTCTGTGGAAATACAAATTTTTATATAGAGAAATGAAATTTCGTATAAAATACCAAAATTTTTTTTATCGAAATATAAAATTTCAATGAAATAAAAGTTTCTCCTAAAAAATTTAATTTTTTAATGGAAATATAAAATTTCATTGAAATTTCCCACAGAAATACAAACTTTTATTGAAATTTCCTATTTTAATAAAAAAAAATCATTGAAATAAAAATTTCATGGAAATTAAAATTTCACCACTTTTTTTAATTATTCTTATATAAAAAATCTTAAAATTAATATATTTGCACTCACCTTAACTATATATGCATATGTTATACTAATGGCAATTGTGGGAAATGGTGAACTCATCAGGAACCAATCTCTCGTTCTAGGATCGGATTTGTTGTCCATGAGATCCCGCCAGCCATCATAGATTGAGGTAAGTAAATTCTGTAATGCAAAAAAAAAAAAATAAATAAATAAATAAAAAATAATAATAGTAAATAAAATGAATGAATAAGTAAATAAATAAATCACAATTAAATATCATAAAAACAATTTCGTTAAAAAATTATTATGAAAAGAAAATATTTTCTAGAATTTATAAGAAAACACAACAACATTTTTTTTATTTTTTTAACATTGTTTATAAAAAAACACTCTGTCTTCACAGAGTGATTTTTTTCTCCACATCAACAAGTATGTCTGATTATCTGTCCGTCTATTAAGTAATTTGTCGAGAACAATAACAGAAAAAACAACAAGCTTGGATTTCCTTAATAAATTACAATAATAACAACAAAATAGGTAATGAAATAAATAATAAAAGCAAAAGCCAGTAGTAAGTCGTTGGTAAGACTAATCGAACGTTTTTACAGTGATTTAGGTGTTTAAACACAAATTATAAATGCATAATTAAAAAAAAAGAAAATGTGTGTGGATTTTTGGATATTAGGGTGGTTCGTTAAAATAAAAAATATATTTTTTTTAATTTTTTTTTAATAAAAATTGGGTGGATAATTTTGTATTGAAATTTGAGGAAATATTCTATCAACATTTTATATGAAGTTAATTTATTAGTTCCGGTTGGAAGAGTCAACCCCCTCGAACTAAAAAAGTACATATACTAAAGGTCTACTGTAAAATTTTGGAATAGGTCCATCATTTAGTTTGTGTTCAAAACGGGGAAACATATGTTTCACTTTTTAACCCTTTCTTTCTTGAAGTGAATTTTTACGCCGTAAAATAAAATAAATTGTCACTTTAGGCTTTGGTTGATTTGACCCTCGGAATATCTAAGTATTTGATCAGATCCCCTACACCTTGTAAAATATGTGATGTTCTGCATATAATAATTGCCTAGAGAGCGACTAGAAAATCTGACAAAATTAAAGATTTCGGTTCATTGCACCCCCTGAATGAAATCTGAACTTCACCGAAAACGCCGTCCTTGACCATAATCGGAAGTACAATTTCAAAGCTATCAGCGCGACATTTCCGTCCTCTAATGGAGTAATAGTAATACTATGAACATTCACCTTTACCTAATTACGTATAACTCCCATATCAGAGTACATGCAGCCATTATTTTGGTATCAATTTGAAGGTCAACAACTCCTCTTGGATATACTATCAACTTCTCGGGTATATGTCCTTCAGGAGCAAGTATATACGCCCCAGAATAAAAAATTTGTAATATTTAACACAAAAGTCAGGGTCCATTTGACCCGCTAAATATTGACCGATCTTTATCAAAACAGGCATGCTTCTTCTTTGGCCCAATCCCCTTCTTCATGTAAAAATTCGAGATGTTTGGGCCATAATTGCGGCCTCTGGAGCGACCAGAAAAACCGACAAAAATTAAGTATTTGGTCCATTTTATCTCCTAAATATTAACCGATCTTTACCAAAAATAATAGGGGTCTTCATTGGACAGACCCAGTCCTACGTGCAAAATTTTATGAAGATTGGTCCATAACTGTGGCCCGTATCGTGTTTAAAGTTATAATGAACAGACGGACGGAGGGACACACATGTCTAGACCGACTCAGCTAGTCGAGATATGACTATCGGTACATTTAAAGGTCTAGGACCAATATTTCGCGTCGTTACCAACTCTTGGGGCTGCACAAAGCTATAATACCCTGACAACATAGTTGTGTATGGTATAAATATAATAAAATTTTGTTCTGAAAAATGTAAGTAGTTTATTTTACAATTTATTAATGTGGTCATGCGTCCTCTTTTTTAGAGGACACCATCCATTTTAACTGGCTGTCATCTATAAAATGTATGTCCTCTTTCTTTCATCTATTTATATAATCTGTTATCTTTGTCATCTATATTTTTAAAACCTTGATCAATATGTAGTTTTGTAAATTAAAAAAATATTTAGAAATTGTATTTTCGATATTTTCAGGATTTTTGGCACAACGAATTATATGTTTTTTTTTTATATTAAGTTGTAATTGGGTAACAAATTTCCATAAAAAAATTATTTATTAAATTTTGGTATTTTTAGGGGTTTTGGACACGTTTTGCAACTGAATTGACTGTAATTAGATATTTTGGGTTCTTTGTTTCTAGGTATCTCTAATATAAATAAACCCATATTTTAATTTGCCTTCAAAAGAAAAGAAAATTCTGCAAAAAACAAATTATTCTATAAAAAAAAAATTTTTAGTATTTTTTAAAATTTCATTGATATAGGTTTTTTTACAGGAGCTAATTAAGTAGCTAGTTTTACTAATTAAATTACTAATTAAAACAAATTATTTTGAAATTTAAAAAACTATTATTTTATTTCATTTTTTTCTTCCCAGCCTGTTTTTGTAAAATTCGAATAAAACCAATTCGAACGAATTACTACCAAACCTTTATTTATATAAAAAATGTTTTTTGATCCTAAACAAAAATAAATGACATATTTTTCAAAAACAAGGAGTTTGGTCGCAAGTCACTCGAATTCGTTCGTTTAGAATTTTACAAAAATAGGCTGTAAAAGTCCTCATCGGTTTTTATATTTTAAAATAATATTTTTTTCTCATTCATTTTAATTTTTTTTTTAATCCATAATCTTTTAAGTAATAGGTGCTTTCTCATTATTATGACAATATTTCCTGGTTTTATCAATGAATTACAAATTGTTGTTTTTTATTTTTAATCATCTCAAGATGCCGGGTGATGTACCCTGCCACCACAATATTGCATTTTAAAATATGCTAATATACAATTGTGGTTGCACGAACTTGTTTTAATTCAACAATAAACAAATCAATCAATAAATAATTATTAACTGTGGGAAATTTTTATATAAAAAAGGAAGAACAAGATATAAAAAATAAATTTTGTAGAGGAAATTACATTTTTAGCAATTACATACCATATTTGTGTGTTATTGATATAGAATTCAATAAGAAAATTTCCGAAGAAGTTGGAAATTAATCAACAAAATTTTAAGTTCAATGTGGAAGAATATTTTTTTTTTTTTTGTAATTAAATTCTTAATACACTTCTGTATGAGCATAGATAAAACACCCAAATATAGTTGTTAACAATTATAATCAATTATTTGTTGTTGTTTTTTTTTATTGAACAAAACTCTAATAATTTTATAACTGTTTTCTACGATTTCAATTTATTTTGTTTCACACTTTTTATTAATTCAATTCAATTATTTCAATTCAATTCAATTATTTTCAATATTGCACAGTTTAATAATCTTTATCAATTTTTTATTATTTTTAAATTGATTTTTAGCACTCTTTATTAATTTTAAAATTTTTTTCCAATATTACACAAAACTATCAATATTCTTTGCTCCACTGTTTAACCTCTTTGTCATTACTCTAAGACAGTCTTTATATTACTGTTCTTAAATTTCTCCGTCTTCAAAGAAATCTTCGAATTTCTATTAAAGCCCAATCTAGAATCTTCGCATTGTGATTTGAGAAATATTTCGCATTTTTCTTCTTCAACACACACACACACATTTCTTTATGAATGTTTAAAAAAATTAACGAACATCTTTGCTTTTCCATTCAACCGTTTCAACAAATAACAGCAACTCTCCTTTCTTTCCATTGGATATAACAGTTGTTATTAACAACAAAATAACACACAAATATTTGTAGTTATTGTTATACTCCCATGTCTATATTGTTATACTCTTAGCTATGTATTGTTATACTCTCTCCATTATTAAAAACAAAAATAACACACAAATATCTATAGTTATTGTTATACTCCCATGTCGATATTGTTATACTCTTGCCTTTATTTGTTATATTCTCTCCACTACTCTTTGCTTAACATTGCTCTGCTATATTGTTAACTAAACTCCATTGGAGACTTTTTTCCTTTTCACTTAACCAGCAATATAACAATTATAACAAACACTCAAAAGCCATACACTTCACTCTGAGAAGCAAGCACTCACTCTCTCTCCCTCTCCCCCTCTTTATTCCGTTCATGCACAAACCAAAGCCATACACTTGACCAAGCATCAATTGTGCTTTGCTTTGCCTTCCCACTCATTTCAACAGATCAACAAACAGTAATCACTCTCTTATTCTCAGCCTCTCAATACATACTCAATTGTTGTGTACGTGTGATTGCGTTGTTGTGAGACTTAATAAGGCGCCTTCTTTGGTAGCTGGCTTTGTTTGTGTTTGTTGCCGTTGTTGTTGTTTTTGCAAATAATTACTGTTCGTTTGTTCGCTTTTGGTTAGTTGAATGCATGTTTACACCGGAATTTCCTCTAGAAAAAAGTACTGGAGGGCGTATGATGTCTAATTAGAAAATAACTTGAACGTATGTAGTGTAGAATGAAGAAAAATAAATTAAATATCAATGGAATATAGAATGTATAAAAAGGAAACTATAAAGGCAAATAAATGGGGTTATTTTTGCAATATTTTTAAGACGATTTATGACAAATAAAATGAATATTTATTAGAGGTTAGAAAGCAATAAATGGGAAGAATTTTGGAAATATTTTGCAAAAAAATTTAGAAAAAATATATAAATGCTTCAAGTACTTAAAAATTAAATTTATTTTACAGTGAATTGTATTAAAATTTCTCGTCCCTTTTAGAGAAATTTTAATAAATTGTAAATATTTATATTAAAAAATAGAAATCATTTTTGGGAAAATATTTTAATACATTATAAAAGCAAAGCGAGCTATACAGATTCGTTTACTACTCGTTTTATTAGCTATATGTACTTAAGTTTTTATCGAAGAGGATTCGGATTTAATGTTGGTCAAATCGGTCATCGGTTGGTCAAATTCAGTTCGCTACAAATTAAATTTACAAGATTATAAAACATTGACCCTATTGTGAGGTGGTACTAGAAGGAGAGAACCGACGGATCCCACCTTTGTACCTGAACTGGGCTTTGCAATGATAAAAGGTTGTACAAAGTTTGGTTCAAATAGGACATTCCTTTCCATTCGCCTAG